TGAATAGGGCAACTAGCTGTTGTGTTATGGTTTGCTTTTTTAATGTAACTATTTTTATGGCGACAGACTGGAAGAAGTAGGGGGAGGGAGAGAAACTGGAATGGAGATCAAGAGTAGGGAAATGAGCAGTCACTGTCTCCCCACCTGCTTAGCCATTATTTGCAGGCAGGGTTTTGTTGGTATCATAGCCAAAATGAGTCTTGAGGAGGGGAGCTGAAGGGCAACGTAGTAGCGTTATTAGTGTCTTCACCATACACAAGGAAGTATTTGGGAAAAAGCACGGATATTTGATGGAGAAACTCACTGGTAAAAGGCAAGAATGTAGATGAAATAAAGGCAGGTGTCACCACTGCTGTGTAGTCTTGAAGATAAAAAAAAAGCTTATGTATAACGTGGAGCTGAAAGGGGAAGAGAGTAAATGTACCAGAAAAGGGCTGATGTGACCAGAGTAATGAAATCAAGCTGAGGTCACCCAGGTTTCAAACTTGAGTAATTGGTACAACAGGATTGTACACTGAGAGAGATCAATTGCTCAGTTTTGGACTTGCTGATTTTGCAGACTCTGCAACTGGCACCCATTAGCAGGAGATGCCAAAGCATGGCTATGGTAAATTTATACCTAAGTGCCAGCACAAAATTCCAGTCTCTCAACTACTCTCAGGAATTTTATAGTAGAAAAGCAATCAGGACTGAGATTGCCAACAATTACCTAATCTACATTTTAACTGTACGACTATTTGTAAACAGTGCATACTGAACCATGTCAAAATAAATGCAGAATATGTTGTGATACATTGGCCTCACTTCTGTTTGCGTGCTTGTAGATTTGCAGAGTTCAATAATTCACCATCACTGTGAGCCCTGCTGTGACCCACAGTATTATCACAAAATATCAAATATTTTCACCTCCCCTGAAGCTCTAAACACACAAAAGTAACTTGCCAAAACAGACGACCAAATTCTTACCTGCCACAGCACCAAATGCTAAAGACCCACTCATTTGCAGCGCCTGTTGTGCCGCTGGGGGAATCTGTAAACCAGTACCTGTGACAAAAAGCACCAGTGAGTTCTTCGCTTGGGAAGTATTCTAGGAATAGAAAACTTAAGAAATCTTAGTATTCTTCAGCACTAAAGGAAACAAAATATTTCCTTAAGTTAACATTCCATCTTTGAGGTGTTCTAATACACAAAAGGCGTATTTTGCAGTGTTATCTAAAACTTAAAGTCTGAGAGACTTAAGATTACTTTAACGTCTCCAATATTTTCCCCCCACAACCTACATTACCACACATACCTTCTGCAAGTCTTGCCATCAACTGTAGACGACCAGTTGTTCCCAAGTCAATTCCAGTCCTTTCCAGTTCATCGCTGTCCAAAAATGAACTAGCACTTGAAGCATCAGTGCGTTCTGTTACATGACCTACTTTCATTGGCCGGCCTGCTAGCTCAAACCCATTTAGTTGTTCCAAGGCTTTTTTGGCACACTCTGAGTCTGAGAACTGTAGAGGATACAAGATCAGTGTCTAGCAAAGTCCACAAGGTATTTTCTATTCAACATATCATCTATACAACTATATAGCTGAGATGCCTTCAATTTTCAAGAAGCTACTCATACAGCTACTCATTTTTTTTGTTTTTTTCTTTACGAGGCCAGAAAGCACAGAAAAATCGGTTAATTATTCAATAGTATAATATTGAGCTCTGACTATTTACCTCTGCATTTCTAATACTCATCTTACGTTCTATGCATCTTTTCTACAAAGTAGAAATTCCATCATAAATCAAGGCCTTAGCTTCAGTTTTCCTCCAGTGAACTGTTTAAGGACTATGATGAAGTAATTTTTTGGGGGGGGGGTGAGCTATTGATTAGTTTTTTTTTGTGGGGGGGGGGGGGGGGGGGCGTGCCCTTATCTTGTGATCTTAATTACTGTAGCATGCTTTACATGTAATGTTGGCCAAGCAAAGCTTCAGGAAGGGCAGCATGCAGCTGCATGTCCGCTTAGTGGTGTTGGTCAGGGCACGCATCACAGTTATACAATTGTGGTGGTTCCCCCCGTTTATTTCAAATTACAGTAACTCAAACTTTGTCAATAGCCATCACAACTTCACCATATTTTATTTTGTCAGTTACAACATCTGAGCTTAGTTCCCAGTTTTGAATATCTGGGGGTTGGCTGGGATGTGCTCTCTTCCAGAAGCCCTGGCCTCTATCATCTGATTGCTCTGACAAAGCTCAAGTCTGATGACTTTCAGGACTTGGTACGAGGTCTGTTTCCACTCCAGCGTTTCCTTGAAGGGGTGGTGATATAGCTTAGTGTGATTTCTGGTAATACTGGTTATTAATAAGGATTTTTTTGTTTTTAAAAATATCAGATATCTGATTTGTTAATTATCCTTATGTAATAACCAGAGACTACCAATCCAGGACTGGCAGGCAGACACAGCTGCACTCCCCAAGAGAATAAAAAATTTCTAATCAACGGATCTGCATTGCTAGGATATTTGAAGGAGCTTGGAACACACAGAGCTAGCTCATCCTGGAGAAAAGTAACCTGGTTACACAAAACTCTCAGTTTTGGTTAAATTACTTAGACATCTCTGAAGAAGTCTTCTAATCTCAGTTTAAACTCCGACTGAGTTGTTTATTTCTGCCTGGGCTCTGATATGCCCTTGTCCAGTCAGTTGGAATTTGGGTCACATACCTAACCCACAATTCTGCTAAGTATTTACAAGTCAAAAATCTCACCGTAATAAATCCATATCCTTTGGAGCGTCCAGTTTCACTATCCATCATCAGCTGAATGCTTTCAATCTAAAAAAAATTTTTTTTTAAAGATGAAAAACATTAAGACTATGACACACTGCACTCTATAGTCAAGTGAGTAGTTCAATTTAGCCTTCTCTCATGTAAGCTTTTTGAATGCATCACAAGATATCAATACAAAAACGTAAGACAGCTGGTATAGACACATGGTCCAGAATGGAACTTAATACAACTATTACTGGAAGTTTTATCAGCTACCCATTTTTTAAGCGTATAAGCATAAAGGTAACTTGCAATTTACTAAAAGTGAGACATCTTTGGAGTACACCAAACAACCTTGGATATGTTTAATTCATTATTATTTTGGGCTTATCAGCTAGCAACTTCCACCCAGATGTGACATCTTAGCACATACTCTAACCGGACAGCCATCAATTGCTGATTGTTCCATTAACGGAGATACAAGCAACTGCTCCTTCGCACAGTGTCTCAATGGAGGGAATTTTTGTAAAATGATGTTAGAGTCTACCAGGAGCCAGTTTTTTTTTTTAAACAAACAGAAAAAAGACATATCATTCAAAGTCTTATATTCTTGCCTGCTTTTATTCTGGACAGTGAACAGAACTTCACATTACTGAATTTAAGGAAACAAATTTCAAGTCATCTGCAAACAAAGTATTAGAGGTCTCAGAAGGATAGCCATGTTAGTCTAACTAAAAAAAACCCAACAAAAACAAAAAACAAAAAAAACTTTAAACACAACAATGGTGCTGTAACACCTTAGGGTGCGTCTACACAGCAGGGCTTAACTCAAAATAAGCTACACAAATTGAGATAAATCAATTGCATAGCTTATTTTGAAATTGGGAACAACTACACAGCGCTTATTTCGAAATAGAGTATGCTTCCTCCAACATCCCTTACTCCTCATACAATAAAAGTGTTACAGGAGTAAGTCTCTCCAGATTGACAGTATTTCAACATTATTTCAAAATAACTTTGTCCATGTCTACACAGCAGGTAGTTATTTTGGAATAATATTGCTGTGAAGACATACCCTTAGAACAAGGCTACTCAACTTTGGAAGCCCTGGGGGACACAACGATACTCATGGCCCGTGCCGAGGGCTGCAACTTAAGTGTGATTGCATATATATGCAAATAGCTTCTTTAACACGGACGTGCATGAATACAAAGATTAAGGCAAGACTACAAAGCACGCAGGCCCCATTTAACTTGGTTCGGCTGATATTAATAAAATGCAATATTTACCTGATTTCCATCCATGACAGCACTTTAAATGAGCAATGACAGTGCAGGAATTTAACTACTAAAATGCTTATCAACAGAAGACCACTGTATTGACTACTAATTTGTTTTGGCTCCCAACCGCGAGCTACGTGTTGAGCCCCATGTAAACTCAAACCGCACCGCGGGCTGCAAACAAATGGGCCGAAGGCCACATGCAGTCCACAGGCCACATGTTGAGTAGCCCAGCCTTAGAGGCTAACCAAAGTATTATGCATATGTAAATATAGGGAAAAGTAAAAAGTAGATTTTTTTTTTTTTAAATCTAAATCTATATGCCATTTGCAGTCTTCCTTCTGGTTTATTCCCCTTACCAAAGGCTGATTTGGGACAAGACAAGATGGATTCGAACAATTAACAATTTGCTGCAGTTCTCTGAAGGATATTTTTTTTAGCATGACTAACTTAAAATACACGTACTCCAATTTTATTTAATAGACATTTGACTAGCTATGACATAAGTTAAAGGATGAAGTATCCCACCAAATAGAACATACAAACAGTACACAAAATGATTTTTGAGAACCCAGATAACCCAAGATGGACATGAGTTGCAAATTACAGTTGAGTCCAGATTATCCAACCTTCGGTAATCCGACATTCCACTTTATCCAACTTGAGTGCAGCGCGAGTATGCGGCCCCCAAGGCCAGCCACCCCAGCTGACGAGGCTTCAGCAGTCTCCCACGGGTTGGAGCCTCCTGCCAGCACCGCTTCGTCCCCGTCCCTGCCTGGCACCTTTCCTCCCTGAGCTGCATCAGCGGCGCCAGGTGAGCGACAGGGCAGCGAGCGGGGCCGGAGCCAGGGCCAGGCAGGGATGGGGACCAAGTGGCACCAGCAGCTATCCCACCCTCCCTGTACTCCCTATTATGCAACATTTTCGGTAATCTAACCACCTGTCGATCCCGTTTTAGGTCAGATCATCGGGACTCTACTGTACATTAGTTTTTTGTTTTGTTTTTTAAATACAGCTTGCAGCCTATACTAGGTTACTGTCAGACATCTCTCTAAGAATTGTTACAAAATGCCCATCTGTAACTGGTGTGCGCAAAAGTACACATTTGACAATTTAATGGCACAATCCAGGCAACACATTAGTTCGATCCCGTTTTAGGTCAGATCATCGGGACTCTACTGTACATTAGTTTTTTGTTTTGTTTTTTAAATACAGCTTGCAGCCTATACTAGGTTACTGTCAGACATCTCTCTAAGAATTGTTACAAAATGCCCATCTGTAACTGGTGTGCGCAAAAGTACACATTTGACAATTTAATGGCACAATCCAGGCAACACATTAGTTAGCCTGAAAGGGTTGCCAGTGGCCCAGGCTGGGCCTGCCAAGCCACCAGCCCACAGCTGCCTTGCTGGGACCCTTAAGCACAGCGCAGCAACTGCTTTACATGTGGTTGCTCTATTCCATCGTGTGCCGTTTAGGCAAAACATAGGAAAGATTCCTTCGATTGCGTGAAAGGAGACGACCACCTTTGAAAGGAACTCCAGGTGAGGCTTAAGACGGACCTTGTCTTTGAAGAAGCCTGTATATGGCGCTTCTAATTTCACGGTGACCAGAAACACCACCTTTCAGAACAAATGGGAGAGAAAGCAAGCCTCAGTGGCTTGAATGGCGGTCCCATGAGCCAAAAGAGGACTAAGTTTAGGTCCCACTAAAAGACAAGGTCCCAGACCTGCATAGAAAGGCGCTCAAGACCCCCACAGGAAATGCACATCTGCTCAGAAACAGTCCTTGGAGCAGTCCATAGAAAGCTGAAATGGCCTGACACTCTCTGGGATGGGGGTATAAATTGCCAAAGCCAGCAACGTCCTGAACCAGTGCTGGTGAGCCAGGCTGAGAATATCAGAATGACCGGAGCCTTGCCCGGTTTGATTCAGACAAGAATCCTGCGGATGAGAAGGATTAGTGAAAACTCATTCAGCAAACCCTTTACCCACGACAGAAGGAAGACATCCAAGAGGCAGCCTGTGCCCAAGCCCCACAGAAACCAAAAACCGTGGTGGCAAAGAGGTCTTTTTGGGGAGTTTCCACCTTCAGAAAATCATGAAGGTCTCTTCTTTGGGAAGTGGCCATTCATGTTAAGAGATATCCCTGCTGAGGTGATTCACCAGGGCATTTCTCATCCTGAGGCGAGCCACCTGCAGGCAGATGTTGTGTATCAAAGGAGGAGCGCTTTGATATAAAACACTGAGGCCATATTGTCCGCCAGGATCCTCACCACTTTGCTCGATATGAAACAAAGGAAAACCCTGCAAGCTAGATGCACTGCTCTGAGCTCGACACTGATATGCAGCTGAGCATCCTCTGCGTCCAAACGGCTCTGAGGTGCATGCCGCACCCTAGATCTATGGTGTCTGACCCGAGCTCAAGGAAGGGAGCTGCAGTGGGAAACCGGACTCCCTCCAGCATGATCAAGGTTGTATGTGAGGGGGGCTTATGACCATGTCATCCAGGTGGTCCCTAGACTGGGAGTATACTGATGGCAGCCACTGCTGGACAGGCTACAAGCAGAGCCTGGCAAGGAAGACAACATGCATGCATGCCAAGGTGTGCCCCAACAGACACAGGCAGACTCTGGCTGTACTCAGGGGATACATGGACACTTGCTCCACATGGATGTGAGGCCCGCCAGGCATGGGTCGAATTGAGCACATCACTGATTAACTCTATGCATTGAAGTGGTATTAACGTTGACTCATTGACCTGGAGACCCAATGTTTGGGATGTGTCTAGACAGGGGAGAGCTACTCCACGATTTTGGGAAGTGGTCACAGGATGCATTTTTCTATGGAAGGGCTGCAGGGTCTGGGACAGAGGTAGGGTGCAGAAGAGAGTTTTGGGTAGCCACTAGAGGGCTCAGGGTCTAAAAGAGTTAGGGTGAAGGGGGGGTGACCTGGGAAAGGGGATGGGGATGCTGAGTGCAGGAAAGGACCTGGGGAAGGGGATGCTGGGTCTGGAAAGGGGTCTGGGTGCAGGAAAAGAGTCTGACCTGAGGAAGGAGTCAAAGAAATGGTGCAGAGGGTTTGGATTATGACCTGGGGCAGCAAACTGGGGTGCAGGAAACCTCATGGCCTAAAAGATAAGGTGTCTGACTTCTGATCAGGTGATTTAGTGTTCGAGTCCCTTGGTAGTTGTGCTGTTATTTTAATAGGTAGCAGGTTTGAAACAAACATAAGGAAGTATTTCTTCACACAACACAATCGACCTGTGGAACTCCTTGCCAGAGGATGTTGTGAAGATCATGACTTGGACAGGGTTCAAAAAAAGAACTAGATACATTCATGGAGACTAGGTCCATCACTGGCTATTAGCCAGGATGGGCAGGAATGGTGTCTCTGACCTCTGTTTGTCAAAAGCTGTGATTGGGTGACAGGGGAGGGAGGGTTCCCTGTTGTGTTCACTCCCTCTGGGGCATCTCGCATTGGCCAATAGTGGTCAGAAGACCTGATACTGGACCAGATTTGGTCTGACCAATCTGGCCATTCTTATGAGAGGATTTTGGCCTGGGGGAGGGTTGAAGTAGGGGGTGCAGGGTGTGGGAGGGAATTATCAACTTGGGTAGGGGATGCAAAAGAGTTGGGTGGTAACCGGGGGCAAGGAGTTGAAGTGTGGGAGGGAGTGGTATGACAGACACAGGCTCCGGTCGAGAGTTCCTTACCTAGACGGCTCCTGGCCAGCAGCCCAGTGGGAGCCTTTGGCCGTCTTCCTATCTGCTGCTTCTCAATCTGG